GCCGCGCAAGTGCCGCCGGTCATGATTTGCACCCCCCCCTCTTGGACACCCCCGTCTTGGTCGCTCCCGAAAAAGGGGTGTGGTGCCAATGCTGAATCTGGCGATCTTATCTGTTGCAGACAAGATTGCCACTTTCGCGATTGGCACCACGCCCCTTTGCGCCATGCCCCTCTCCGACTTCAAGAGGAGAGGAACGAGGACTGCCCAAGTTCCAGATCGCTCTTCACCGCTGCTGCGCCCTGGCAGCGCCCGCGGATGCGCCCTGGCCCTGGCCCTGGCTGCAACCGCGGACCCCTCCGCCCTGGCTGGCCGCTCCAGCCCGCTCGCCTTGGAATATTCAGGAGGAAAGAAACACACAGACACAATTAATCTTCGATGTCCAGGAAAATATGGGAAATATGTAAAGTGGGGGGATAACAAAAACCCAGATAAATATGTAAAGTCCACCTCCTCCTCCTCCTCCTCCTCCTCCTCCCTGCTCCCTGCTCCCTGCTCCTCCTGCTCCTCCTGCTCCTCATCCTTCTAATCCCCCTCCTCCTCCAGCTCCTCCTCCTCCCTCCTCCTCCTCCTCCTCCTCCTCCTCCTCCCTCCGCCTCCTCCGCCGCCTCCTCCCTCCTCCTCCTCCCTCCTCCATCTCCCCTCCTCCTCCTCCTCCTCCTCCTCCTCCTCCTCCTCCTCCTCCTCCTCCTCCTCCTCCTCCTCCTCCTCCTCCTCCTCCTCCTCCTCCTCCTCCTCCTCCTCCTCCTCCTCCTCCTCCTCCTGCCGCTCCGCGGTGCCTCTCCACGCCGCCCTCCGCGCCTTCGAGGTGTCGCGGGCGGACACGGGCGAGGCCTGGGTGCTCCACGCCGCTTCCCCGGAGGAGCCGCGGCACGACGGGGTGCCGTTGCCGTGAGCGCCCTGCCAGAACAAAAGGTCCGCAACGACGACGTTGGAGGACGTCGACGACGACGACATTGGACGACGTTGGACGACGACGTTGGACGACGACGACGACGACGACGACGTTGGACGACGACGACGACGACGACGACGACAACGACGTTGGACGACGACGACGACGACGACGACGACAGGCGCGTCAGATCCGTTTCTTTCCGTCGCTCGTGCCGTGGGAGGCCTCCGGAGTCGCCCGGGCAGGTCGTCCCCATGTGCTCTACCCTTGGGCGCCGGCGAGGGGCGCCTTCGCCGAGCACGCCTTCGCCGAGCGCGCCCGCGGCGGCTGCGCCACGCGAATAGTCTTCCCAAGGGTATCCTGGCAGCCTTGGCCTCCTCGGTGCCTCCTCGGCCACGTTCGTTGGCCGCGCCCCGCTCGGGAGGCTTCGAGACGGCCTTCCGAGGCCCTTGCATCCCCATCGCGCATCCTCATGATACGGGTTGGCTGTAGCAGGTAGCCTGCACCACATGGTTTTCGTCACACAGCTTGCACCACGGGGCTTGCACCACGTGGCTCCCGCCACACAGCTGGCATGTCCAGACGGCAAGAGCGTCTTCTTCTGGGCACACGCGGGACACGTTTTGTTGCTATTTTCTGAGGTGTTGTCCGAGACAGTGGTTGATAACCGCATGCCCAGGATAATAAAGCACCCCCCCTTAAGTCGTTAGAGTTTTTTATCGTCGACCAATATGAGTTTGGTCGGGGGCGCGGGGGCGCGGAGGCCGAACTTCATTATCACTGGGAAAGTTCGCCATCGAGGTTACTTCCTTCTCATGTTGAGATAACAGCATCAAGCGAAGCGAACACGTTTTTTCTTTGTGTTGCTTTATGTTTCTCTCTTTCTCTATTGTTATTTGTGTTGCTTTCTGTTTCTCTCTCTCTCTCTCTGTCTCTCTCTCTCTCTCTCTGTCTTTCTTTCTCCTCCTCCCTCTGGCGCCCTGAACTTGTTTATCGCTGGGGTTGATTATCCTGGGAAAACTAAGCACATGAGCTACCCTACACGAGCAGATGAAACTTTTAATTTGCATTAAGCGTTTACAAATTAAATCTAAAACGTTTTCAACTTTGAATTTTTGCTTCTACATCCTTCTCTGCTTCTCCTGCTCTTCCTCCTTCTCATCCTTCTCCTCTTCCTTTTCTTCTTTCTTTATAGTTCTCTTTCTATTTCTTTTTCTGTTTGTCTCCCTGGCCCCCTGAACTTGACAAATATTTCGACGATGTCTCAAGCGAAACAAGCAATTCTAGACGCTTCGCGTATCCCCACCAGCCCGTCCAGAAACGACGCCCAGGCGAGTAGAGGGTCGTCCTGAGGGGCTTTTCGGCGTCTTGGGTGCCTCGGGGGGGCCTCTGTGGGCAGTTCGGGATCTCTTTGGGGCCTCCTGGGGGCCTCTTGGGGCCTCTTGGGGCCATCTTGGGGCCTTTGGGGGCCTCCTGGGCGCTTCTTGGGGCCTCCTGGGCGCTTCTTGGGTGCCTCTGGGGGGTCTCTTGGGGCCTCTTGGGGGTCTCTTGGGGGCCTCCTGGGGGCCTCTTGGGGGGCCTCGGTGCCATCTTGGAGGAGATCGATCAACGAAGGGGGGTTCCCTAATTACAGTCCCCCCCTCAGGAGCCACGATCCTCGTGCGGGGTGTCGAATTGTAGCCCTCCCAGGGGTCGATCTTGGGCGCTCCAACGCGCCGCGGAACCCCCTGTCCAGGTCAGTGGGGAGGGGGTAGGGGGAGGGGTAAACCCCTCCCCGAAGGGGGAAGAGGGAGGGGTGGAAGAGGAAACTCGTTAAACCACCGACGCCCAGAGGGCTGGTGGGATTCGTTGAGGATGTCTCAACCGAGACAAATCATTGTTGAGGATGTCTCATAGAGGACCAAAGTCCAAGGATTCTCAAGATATCTTTGGCTTTTTCCTCTTGGTATCTCTTTATGCTGGCTCTGGCGGGCAACTTTTATTATCCCCCCGAAAACCCCGAACTTTATTATCCCTTAGGGCTTATTATCCACAGCAAGGGGTTAAAAACATGGCCGTCGCTGCCCTCCGCTCCTTCCTCGTCACCCCCCGCCCCTCCTAGGTCCTCCGTCCTCCCTCCTCCTCCTCCTCCTCCTCCTCCTCTTTCTCCTCCGCCTCCTCATCCACTAGTTCCCTCTTTCGTCGTATCTCATCGTCGAGGGCGACTGCGACGACGGCGCTGACGACGACGATGGCGATACGAATGATGTACGAGGGCGACAACTGGGGTAACTGTGAGGAGGACGACGACAGCGCGGAAGGCAATGACACGGCCGACGGCAACTATGACGCGGACGACAGCGATGCCAGTGCAGCGTGCGGCTGCGACGACGACAACGACAGGGACGAACATGACGAAGTGGACGGCGAAGAAAGAGAGGAGGATGACAGCGACGACGAACCTGATCTGATGCTCGAAGCATCGAAAGGTGATTCCTCATGGCACCCTGCCCCTGTCAGCCGAAAAGGTAGGTAGCCGACAAAGTCTGTGACCGAAGACGTGCCCGAAGCTGTGACCGAAAACGTAGTGCGACCGAAAGTGTGACCGACATCGGAAATTGTCTTGGTTTCGAACACAAGCATTTCGGTCACACTCGGGCGCGGCCAGAAAACTTTGGTCGCCGTTTCGGTCACACTCGGGCTGATCTTCGGGCACAGTTTTGGTCACGGTGCCTCCCTGATAGAGACGAGGCTACGTGAGATTTCTTTCGCCAGAAGACCTGACAACTCGAAAACCCACAACGTCGCAAAGGCGGTCCCGTCGCATGGGACATCCCACTAATCGACGAGCTCACACATTGGGAAGTCGGAGCGTCGAAAAGATTGAACATTATTTGTCTTTCTGACTGTTCACAGATTCCACTGATGGATAACTCGCTGGGGCGCAAAAGCAGACTCGCGACGCCGCGAACTAGAAAAATGGAGCAGCCGCGGACTTGTTATGATTTCTGGACCGTCTTGCACCCTCTTGCGACCTGTTCAGATGCGGCCTTTGTGACGTCGGGACTTCTTGACCAGTTGGACCTCTCGCGCCCCGATCCAGAATTACCACAGAGTGCCCACGCCTCTGCAGGATCCACTTCGATCCGATCAATCCGATTCGATGGCGATTATGGCCGGGTCGATCCGATTCGGTTCTGACATTCCGCTGATCCAACGTGGTTTGATGCTTGCATAACGATGATGTGCATCTTGGCGCGGCCATTCTGATCCGATTCCGACTCCGTGTCTCATGGGCGAAGAAAGGACAACCACAACCGCTGGGCCGATGTGTCTGCCCCTGGTGCACCCCGAGGCCGATCCCAACCACCCAGTGGTGATGACCTGCGCGCGACGCCTGCTTTCGAGTGCCGCGCACAGGTCATCACCGCCGGGGGGTCGGGGTCGGCCGTGGGGGGGTGCCAGTGGCGGTTCCCTCGGCCCAGCGGCATGATGCAGCCTGATCCGACGCAAGCTCCCCAGGACATCCCGCTGCTCCAGTTTTTTTGATGCGTGGGCCCCGGAGGTCCGAACCACTTCCATAGGGCCGGTTTGTCGTCCTGAATCGTCTTCTGACGCTCCCGAGGCCCGGCGAGGGCCCCCAGAGGCCGAAAACGGGCAAAACCGCATGCTCCAACTTTGTTGGAGCGTCGGATCTCTGGGGATGCGGCCTGATCCGACAACCGCTCCGATGCAGTCAGCGTTCACCGATTCCATCCTGACCGATCCAGCTCTGCCGCGGAGAGCGCTCTCAGGACGACGCCCCTCCTCCTCCTCCTCCTCCTCCTCCTCCTCCTCCTCCTCCTCCTCATCCTCATCCTCCTCCTCTCCCTCCTCCTCCTCCTCCTCCTCCTCCTACTCCTCCTCCTCCTCCTCCTCCTCCTCCCTGCTCCTCCTCCTCCTCCTCCTCCTCCTCCTCCTCCTCCTCCTCCTCCTCCTCCTCCCCCTCCTCCTCCTCCTCCTCCCCGCGCCCTGCCCTGCCCCCTCGCCTCGCTCTCCGCCCGCCAGACGCCCGCCTCGCGCCGCGCGCGCTCTCCGGCCAGGCACGGCCTGCTCCCCCTGCAGGGGGGGGGCGGCCGTGGGAGCCTGCATGGCGGGCGCCGGCCCGAAGAGCGTGGTGCTGATCCGCCACGGTGCGGGGGAGGAGGAGGAGGAGGAGGAGGAGGAGGAGGAGGAGGAGGAGGAGGAGGAGCAGGAGGAACAGGAGGAGGAGGAGGAGGAGGAGGAGGAGCAGGAGGAACAGGAGGAACAGGAGGAACAGGAGGAGAAGGAGGAACAGGAGGAACAGGAGGAGGAGGAGGAGGAAGAGCAGGAGGAACAGGCGGAGGAGGAGGAGCAGGAGGAAGAGGAGGAGGAGGAGCAGGAGGAAGAGGAGAAGGAGGAGGAGGAGGAGGAGGAGGAGGAGGAGGAGGGGTCTGGGAGGGACAGGAGCAGGGTTGGGGATGACCCGCCGTCGTCGCCACGGCTGGATCCGCGTCGGAATGCTGGTCGGGGCTTCTCTTCTCGGATCGTTTTCCCTCCCCAGTCCACCGTTCCGTTGTTGGCTACAGTCGGAGAAAACAGGTTGGAAACGAAATGCTCCACTTTTCGCATGGAAGCATTTGAGTACACATCATATCAACGGCAACTCACATCAGTCACATCCGGCGCTGCACACACGTCGAGCCGACGTGGGCCAAACGGTTGACTAAAATTCAGCACCGCTTGGATCGCGCCTGAGCGGCGGCCCCATCCGCTCGGCGGCGGCCCCGTCCGCGCTCGAACCGCCTTGAGATTGTCCGACTCCTACTAAAGAATGGGAGTCGGATGAGTCTCAAAATCTGCACGACATGTTATACATTGACACTCCGGACGCGTCCGATGGCGGTCTCAAAGCGGTCTCAAACAGTTTCAAATGGTTTCTAAGTGCCCCGAAACCCTCGGCGCCGAGCACATCCGCGAGTCTCACATGGTCTCAAAGTACCACAAAACCATCGGCGCCGAACGTGTTCGCGCGTTTCAAAGGGTCTCACAATGCCCGGAAACCTTCGGCGCCGAGCACATCCGCAAGACTCACTCTCACATTGCCTTAGAGTGCCACGAAACCCTCGGAGCCGAACGCGTTCGCGCGTTTCAACGGGGGTCACAATGCCAGGAGACACTCGGCGCCGAACGCATCCGCGCGACTCATAGGGTCTCACAAAGCCATGAAACCGTTGGCGCCAAGCACATCCTCGCGACTCGCATGGCCTCAGAGTGCCACGAAACCCTCGGCGCCGAACGCGCTCGCGCGTTGCAAGGGGTCTCAAAGTGCCGCGGCTAGCCCGCATCATGTCGCGACGGCACTCTTTTGTCGCGCGAGGAAGAATGCCGCAAATCCTTCTCATATTTGCGTTGTCTTCTGTCGTGCCGCCGACGATGGCCAGGATTGGGCAACGTTGCCGCGGTCTTCGAAAGCACGCTAAGACGTCGTCAGGCAGGATCATGAAGTGGAATGTACCTGTGGTGGTGGCGTGCGTGGTGGTGGTGGCGGCGGCGTGTGTATGTGTGTGTGTGAGCGCGTGTATGTGCGCGCGCGTGCGTAGTGGTTGGTGGTGCGCGTGCGTGCGTGCGTGGTGGTAGGTGTGTGTGTGTGTGCGCGTAAATAAGGCGACGTGCTGCCATGCGACCGCGTGTGACGCAACGCAAGGCCATGCACAGCAATGGAGCCGAAACAGCCGCACACATTGGGCTAAATGTGGACATCGCGCTGTCGCGCAAGGCATCCAGTACCACTGCAACGCTAATGGCGACGCCGCGAAGAAGGTGGCCCCCACGTGCGCGCGAAATCCATTTCCAAACATGTCTTGTCGGACTGCAGCGTCGCTCCTTCTCCTGTACCTCTCCTTCTCCTCTTCCTCCTCCTCCTCCTGCTCCTCCTCCTCCTCCTTCTCTTTCTCGTTATCGTTTTCCTTCTCCTTGTCTTGTCCTTCCGGCGCGACACACAGTGCCCTGCCTGGACGCCCCAGGCGCAGCCAGGAAATAACCTGGCGTTGCGATCCAGATATCTCACGCAAGGGCTTAGACTTGCAGCGGGGACACTCGGGCATTTGCCTCTCATAGGTCTCCAAAGGCTCGCCCAGAGGTTCCCCGATGGACACCCCGCGGAGGTCTCCGGCGAGGTTCCCCGGCTGGCATTCGCAGGCCTCCAACGGCCAAGGAGAAGCCAGCGATGCCCCGAAACCTCGACTTTCGAGCTTCGGTGTTGCTCCTCCTCCTCCTTGTCCTCCTCCTCCTCCTCCTCCTCCTCCTCCTCCTCCTCCTCTCCCTCCACCTCACCCTCCAGTGGCGCCCCATCTCTTCCCCATCATATTCCAAACAAGCTCATCCTCCTCCTTCTGCTTCTCCTCAGCCTCCCCCTCCTCCTCCTCCTCCTCGCAGCCCCATCTCTTGTAGATCATTCATTTCTGTTTCGTAATATTTGTATTAATGTTCCTCATCCTTCTCCTCCCCCTCCCCATCATCATCATCACAGCCCCCATCATAATCATCATACCCCCTCATCATCAGCATCATCATGATCACCATCGTCGTCATCATCATCATCATCATCATCATCAGTATCCTCATCAACATCATCCTCATGATCAGCCTGCTCATTGTCATCATCATCATTGTCATCATAATCACCATCAGTAGCATTAGCATCATCATCATCAGCATCAACATTTTTGCCATCGTCGTCATCAACATTGCCATCGTCATCGTCATCAGAACCATCATCATTATCAGCATCATCATCATCATCATCGTCGTCGGCATCATTTTCAGCATCAACATTCGCATCATCAGCCCCACCATCATTATCACCATCGTCAGCATCAGCATCATCATTATCATCACCATCGTCAACATCCTCAGCATCAGTTTCGTGATGCCTCTCGCCCACCTAATGCGTGGGATCCACACACCTGGCTTTGCAACATTTGAGCAGCACGTAGGCATGAGCGTACAACGGGCGACAGAGACATTTCCATTCCTGAAAAAAAGCAGTCGAATGGTTATGTTGCAACGTCAGGGGGCGAAGGTTGCCCGGGAAGAACCATCATCAGTATGCACGGCAGAAGTAATCAAGGAGTGGATCGCCATTCGGAGAGACAGAGGTAGCCTGTGAGCCGTCAGCCATACACCTACGTAGATCTTGGGCTCGATTTCGGCTTGCCCCCCCACACTCCCCCCGACTGCACCAATGAGTGCAGTTCTGAGAGATGTAGGAGGATGAGAAGCAGCAGCAGAATTAGGAGTAGGACGAACGACAGGAAAGAAATGGATGAGGAGCAGGGCGAATAATATAGACAGGAGGATTGGCAGAAAGAGGAAGAGTAACAGAACTAGGAGGATCGGCAGGATCAGGGGCAGGAGGAGAAGAAGGAGCAGGAGAAGGAGCAGGGGGAAACGGACGGCGACTGATAGGTAGGAGGACGAGGGTCCAGCGCTTCTAGCGCCCTTCTCCCCCCCCTACCCCCGCCGCACGAGGCCAGTCAGCCGCGCAGCTGTACAGCCGGTCGCAGCGCTGGGACCACACGCTGACGGATGGTGGGCCCCTCCTCCGCTCCGCCCCTTCATCTTCCAGTGCCTCTTGGAGGAGGAGGGTCGAGGAGGAGGCGGAATATGATCAAGGAGGGCTTCACTTCTTCCGATGGCGAGGTGGCCCTTGAACGTAAACGTGTCCATTTGCGGCCACGTGCGAGGATAATCGAGGAGAGTTGGGAGGATCGAGGAGAGTTGGGAGGAAGAGGTGAGGGTTGTGCTGGAGTGAGGAGGAGGAGGACTTGGACAAGGTCAGGAGGAGGATGGTACATGGTATCACCAGGGAAGGACAATGTGGCGAAGTAGGAGAGGCCGAGGGTGATGAGGAGGGTGATGAGGAGGGTTCGTATCTAGCAGGACAGGGAGGAATCGCGAGGACCGATGAGGGCAAGGAGGGAAGAGGAGGAGGAAGAGAAGGAGGGGGACTAGTGTAGTCCTAAGACTCATCACCGATGTTGCAGTCTGCCCCCTCCCTCCAAGGTCCTTCTTCGTAGGTCCCTGGAGGGGATCTTATTCACTAGTGGAAGTGTCGCATTGGAAGACAACTGCCTGAGAGTCCTCAGTCGCGTCAACACACCATTTCTGGGATTTCAATGCCGCAAGTCAGCATGACTGCTGCGTCCTGACAATCCTACACCGTGCCAGGAAATCATTCCTGGGACTTCAACACCACGAATCAACTTGACTTTTGCGCCCTGACAGTCCTGACTCGTGCCAGGACATTCCGTGGACTTCAGCCGTGCGAATCGTTGTTCTAAGGCTGCAAGACGAATGCGCTCGGCGCCCAGGCGAGAGTCACACTCTGAAAAGGGCCGCCCTCCATCCTTGAGCCTGCTGTAGACGTTTCAGACACATGTGCGCGCCGCCAAAGCCAGAGTAACATTTTGAGAACCACCCGCCCTCCATCCTTGAACTGCTGTGAAATCTGAAGAGGTGTCTGCGTGGCGCTAAGGCGAGGACCACATTATGAAAATCACCCGCACTCCATCTGATTGAAACGTTTAGAACTCCAAGCCTCCAGCGACACGCCCGGGCCGCCTTGCCGACACGCTTGGGAGTGCGACAGGGGGAAGTCATGTATATAGAAATGGGATTTCGGAGGAAGGTCGAGGCGGATCGTGGATATTCGAGGAGTTTCAGGGGGAAAGAGGGGGAGGAGGAGGAGGAGGAGGAGGAGGAGGAGGAGGAGGAGGAGGAGGAGGAGGAGGAGGAGGAGGAGGAGACACACGGAGGTGGGAGTTCTAGGGCGGCGCCGGCGAAGCGCGCGTCGCGGATCGCGTGGCGCGAGGCGTGAAGTTAGGGGACCCAGATCACCCCGACCGGCTCGGCCCGCAGGCCGCGCGCCCGTTGGCGCGCTCTCTGCGCGCCGTGCCAGGAGCTCCGCGACCCGTACCTGTCCGAGGAGGGCGCGGCGCAGGCGGCGGATCTAGGCCGCTGGCGGCGGGGCACGCTGGTGTTTTTTGTGGGGGGGCACGGGCCGTGGGCGGTATTTTCTCTGAGGTCGGCCAGGGGTGGTGCCGCTCCGGGCCCCGCCCCCTGCCAGCTGGACGCACCTAGGCCCTATCCTTCTGTGCGGCATCACCTTGCCCGGGGTGTCGATCTCGAGGCTCCCCTCCGCTTCTGAGGGCACGTCCCTCAGGCTGTCCTCGCCTTGGGCTCGCCCATCCCGGGGAGGGGGCGGAGCTCGAGGCTGGTCAGCCCCTGGGGGCCGTGCGAGGTGGAGGCGAGGGCGGGGAGCCTGCCCCCGGGGCAGGGGGCGGAGACCTCCAGCTGGGGGCCCGCGGATCCTCCGCGGGTCGGGGGCATGCCAGTCTGCAGGACTGCACGCCGGCTGCTCGTGCAGTGCACGCACAGTTGGCATCGTTGGCTGCTTCAGTCGGGCAAGCCTTGCCTCCAATCGCACTGTTAGGGGGCCACATGCTACGGGGCGTGAAAACGACCACAGCCACTGCTTTTCGTTTGTTGCCGCCCTCCAGCCCGCAGAAACAAAGCAGTGGTTGTGGTCATTTTCGTTGAGTTTGGCACCAGTCAAATGACCACAACCACTTCTTCTTTTTCGGCCGGCTGGAAGGCGGCGCAAACAAGAAGCAGTGGCTGTGGTCATTTTCCCGTCCCGCACATGCGAACCCTGCCCCTACCCCCCACGATTTCTGAGTGGGAGGGTGGGGTTCACTTCGCTCGGGAGCTCCCGAACGAAGTGAACCCCACCCTCCCCCCAGAAATCGTGGGGGGTAGGGGTAGGGTTCGCATGTGGCCCCCGAACTGTTGAGCAGATGTATCCCGAGACGCCTGAAGGCAGCCTTGCCGAATCAGGGTCAGGGGCAACGAGAGGGGGAGGGGATGGGCACAGGGGGAGGGCGCATCGACCCCCCATCGCCCACTGATCGCCGCTGTGGAGCTGATGGCCCCGCCATCGGGGGCGTTTCCCCGGTCTGTTGGCCACGTGTCGCCAGTTCCAGATCAATGTCCCTTACCCGATGCCAGTCCCCCCGTATCATTTCAGGAGGGAAAGAAACGCACAGACACAATTAATCGTCCACTCCCCAGAAAACATGGGAAAATATGGGAATTGGGGGGAAGACAAAAACCCAGAAAACATGGGAAAACATGGTGAATACTTGTATTTGTGTGTATTTATTGGTGTGTCCTGGGGCCCCTTCATCATTGCCCCGCAGGGCGGCGCTGGCCTCACTGGAGGGCCAGGAGCCGGAGGGACGCAGATTCGGTGATCGCGGGTCGACGTCATTCAGGACCTCGACATGTGGCAGAGTCAGTCGGGCCGGACGAAAGGGGGGGATTGGGAAAGGGGGGGGTACGAAATTTGCTGCATGCAGCTGGTTTCGGCCTCACCGAGGGGCCCATTCCTCGAATCATGGGCGCCTCCCGGCGCCGGGAGGTGCCAGGAAATTCAGCTACGTGAGCTGATTCTCAACCCCCCCTTATGCTATCCCCCCCCTTTCGCCCAGCCCGAGTCAGGCGTTCGGACATTCTCGGCATCCGAGAGCCCTTGCTGGGCCCAGATGCCGTCACGCATGTTCTGGATTTGCTTTGAGACTCCCTGGTGGATGGATAAAGCACGACGGGCCGCAGACAGAGTTCACATCTCCCGCAGATGCCACCCAATTCGATTGCGCCGCATCCGTTGAATTCCGCACGTTGCGCTTCGTACGTTGAGCCACGTGAGTTGCACCCCGTGCGTGGCACCCAATACGGTGCGCCGTGGCCGTCGCACAACCTGACTTGCAGCCAGCACTGCACGTGCACACCATAAGTTGCGCGTGTGGACTGGGAATTCCTGCATGGGCTGAGAGGCGACTCCACATCAAGCTCCTTGTGCTATGCAGTGCTGTCCGGCCGAATTTTCTCGGATCGTGAACGCCGGTTCTGAGCCGAAAGGCCTCCTCGCGATAGGGCCTGCGCGGCCATCACCTTCCTGGCGGGTGGTGGCCGCGGCCGTGAGGAGGAGACTCTCGAGCGGGCGGGCGTGCGGCAGCATCGCTGACGCGTGCAGGTGCGGGCAGGTAGGGTCCCGCGCCGGTCCCAAGATTGTCACGCCGCCGGCGCCTGGCGGGAACCAGTCTGAACCTGGCGGTCGGGCGGCCGCGTGGCAGGAGCGGGGCAGCTCCTCGGCGCTGCAGTCGTGCCCATTGGCGAGGGCGATGCGCGACAGCCTTCGTGAGGCGTCCCCCGCTCGTTGCAGCAGCTGCGGCCCCCCTGGATGTTTATCATCACTGAGCAGCCGTGAGCCGCACCCCTGGTAACCTCGGCACACTTGCAGGTGCAGTGACGCCAGTGATGCAGGCAGGCCGCCGACACCGGGGCCAGCAGGTCGACAACAGTATGCAGCGCTTCCCTGGGGGAAGCTCTGCCCGCACTTCGCCCTTGCTGGGTGGGCGCTCATGGACATGTATCGAACTCTGAGCAGCCGTTAGCGGCATCCCTGGATCATGGGCCCGGGCTCCCGCCCTCTCCCTGCCTCTCTCCCGACGCCGGGTGCCCCTGGCGGGCCCCTCCTGGTGGCCGGCTGGTGATGTCTGTCCCCACCGCCCCCACCACAGGAGGGTCCCTCACGGGCTGGGTGGCCGGTCAGCGTTTCGTGTCCCCGCATCGCAACGTGGGAGATCGCCCCCTGGCGCTGTTGCCCCCCGGTGTTTACTCTCCGGCCACGCTGGCGACGCTCATCCCCGCCAGTCTGGCTTCCTGCCGCGCTCCGCGCGGTTCTCTACGGCGCTATGTCGTGCGTGCGGCCATGGGCCGGGCCCACGGGATTCTCCTCAGGGCCGGCTCGTTGCCCTTGGTCGGGACTGGTGGGCCCCACTGGATATTGGCGGTCGCCTCGGTGTGGTTCAGCCTTCCGTCGTACGCAGGGTTCCATCCCGGCTCCGTCCCAGCCGATCAGGCAGGTCTAAGCCGTCGACACGGTTCTTGCTCAGCTTACCTGGCTGGTCTACACCGTCGTCACGATCTTGACCCTTGCCGCCCCCCTGGCGATTCGACCATCGTTTATCTCGCCTTTCCCCGCCACCATGTTTGAGAGGATCGCACGTGCAGGTCACCCACCTGCTTCCGCTTGCACCTCCACCTGTGTGGTCTGACGCCGCAGCGCGTAACACCGAATTCCCTGGCATTTTGCTCTGGGCTGCACGTTGCTCGAGCTTCCCTGGGTGCCATATCAGCCAGCCGGCCCCCGCCCTGCTGCACCAGCTGCCGCTTTGTGAGTTGGCCCGGCCGGTTTGAGTCGCGCCCAGTAGCTAATTAGACTTGCCCGTCGGCCCGGACATCCTGCTCGCCGCCTGCGCTCTTCGCTTGCGGCCGCGACTAAAAAAACGCGTGCAGGAACTACTGTGCTCCCCTCCTCATATGAGGCGGTCCAGATAGGGCCTTGCTCTCGAGGGATCGAAGGAGACAGTTTTTTCTCCCCCTCTGGGGGTAACAGGCGCGTGGTGGCGGGGGGAGAGGAGGGGGCCAGTCACGTCACGAGTCGTGCCGGGGCCGTCTAGGAATGCAAAGGAAGTCGTTCGTTCCCAAACGGCGCTGGTCACAGGCGCTCCCGCAAAACAAAAATCATGGCTTCAAGGAGTTTACACATCCTCCTCGGCGGAAGACCAGCGGAAGGCGGCGGAAGTAAAACGAGGGCGCTTCCGCCTGTGGAAGCCGGCGGAAGTTCGGCGGAAGGCGGCGGAAGCAAAACCAGTGCAAAAGCCAGCCCTTCCAAGAGATGGGATCATTTGTTGGTCCAGGCTTCCCGGAGTCGTCCATTCGGTTGGTTTCCCTTCCTTCGCATACGCCCCTGCTCGCTCGCCACTGTATGCGAGGTCTCAGGCCGCTTACCCATTTCATTTCATCACCTCCGTCCCCTCGTCATCCCGTGGCGCCTCCTCCTCCTTCCGATCCTCCCGCAGCATCCTGTCGCCCTCACTCAGAACTGCCTGTTTGGAGGCAGTCCAGCTCAGCAACCAGCATTATCTCGCCCTCCTCCTCGTCCTCCTCCTCCTCATCCTCATCCTCGCTCCTCCACCTCCTCCTCCTCCTCCTCCTTCCTCCCTCCTCCTCCTCCTCCTCCTCCTTCTCTCCTCCTTCTCTTCCTCCTCCTCCTCCTCCTCTTCCTCCTCCTCCCCCTCCTCCTCCTCCTACTCCTCCTCCTCCTCCTCCTCCTCCTCCTCCTCCTCCTCCTCCTCCTCCTCCTCCCCCTCCTCCATCTTTTCACCTCGCCACCGCCGTCCTCCTCCTTGGACAACACAAGGCCCGCTGTCAACTGCCCCCTCGGGGCCCATCCTGCGGCCCATCCTGGCCAGCTCCCGCCTGGGAACGATCACCGACGGCCCCGGCGCCCGGAACGGGCCCCCCCGCGGAGGCCGCGATCGGGGAAGCACGTCTGGCGCGACCTCCGCCGACTCTCCTCCCCCTCTGTGCGTGCCCTGCACCCAGACCTCCGACGCGGTATGATGTGGTGATATGTTTCACGACGTGAGTCCCCGGAGGTCCGGACCCCCCCCGGGGCCGGCTTCTCATTCCGAGTTCCTGTTGTGGGCGGTCCTGGGGCCCGCTGAGAGAGGCCCCCCAGGAGCTGAGAATCAAGCAGTGGCCAAACGTCCTGGTGCGCCTACAGTCCTACCAAGCAATGTTCTAAGAACCTTTGTGGTTCCCACGAAATGCTCTTAGAACATTTCTGGTCGGGACTGTCTTGTTTTATCACATCGGGCTTATGTTCTAAGGAAATTGTTTTTGTTCTTGGAACATTATGGGGTTCTAAGAACATTTCGTGGTAGGACTATAGGAATGCCCGGACGCCCGGACAGTCGGTCCCTGCTCAAGAAAAGGCTCCGAGCCCCCTCGGCGTGACTGTATTCAGGACGCGAGGGTGCCAGGGCCTGCGTCCCCCCTCAGCAGCCACAGGGCCCGACCCCTTCCCCGCGGGCACTTCTGTCGCACCGGATCCCTGATGGCCTAGGTTTCAGTCCGGCCTGTCCCTCTACAGGGGGAAAATTCCAAGATAGTCAAGAAATAGTCTGAGGATTATTTTTTGAATATTTTTGGGCATCTTTTAAGCATTTTGGTTTTTTTTCCCAACCATCCTGTGGTGTTGGGTCCTCGTTTTGAAGAAACGGTCCCCGCGGCTCCTCT